TAAATACTTGGAAGTTGGGTATTTAGCTCAAAGGTAGAATACTTGTCTAGTAAGTGCAAGGCCCTGGGTTTGGTCCTCAGCTCTGGAAAAAAAGACAAAATAACAAAAAATATAAAATGTACAAAATACCATTCTCATTGATTGTGGGAAGCAACAAAATGCACAGGCTTAATGCATATGTTGTTCAACCAGACTGAGTCCAAATCAGCTCTACCCAACATTTGCTGGGTAACTTTGGACAAATTGCTTAAACTTAGTGTCTCAATTTTATCAAGTGAATGGGAATAATAGTACCTATCTTAGAGAGAGCTCATGAAAATCAAGAGCTTTAAAATGTTACTTGCACATTATAAGAACTTAGAATATCAGCTATCACCATCCTTGCAATCCTAATCTTAGTAAATTGTTCCCTTCTGCTGTGCATTTTTTTGGTCTTTTTGAGATAGCGTCTCCCTGTGGTTTGGAACTCACTATGTAGACCAGGCTGGCCTTGAATTCACAGCGATCCACCTGCCTTTGCCTCCGGAGTCCTGGGCTTAAAGGCAAATGCCACCAAGCCTGATCTCTGCTTTGCATTTTTTCTACCCTGTGAGTTCTTTTCAAAGAAGCAGATGTCTCTGGGAGGCACATTCTGCCTACTCTCTAATTCTGCTGAGGACTCTGGAGACCTCTAAGATCTGCTGGGGCTTCTGTCTAACATCTCCAAAGTCAGATGAAGGTGGCAACATGGGAGCACACCCAGCAGCTTACCACATTCTGTTTTCATTTCTCCAAGCACAGCCAGAGCCAGCTCAGGCCAGTCCAGGCTTAGCACATCCATGGATCAATATACATCCAGAATGGAGACTAGGCTCCTACAATCCAGTCCTCAAGCTAACCTCCATGCAGCTGTCTGCAGGGCTGGGAGGTGGGGCTGGCGGGGGCAGGAAGGCAGACTGAAGATGTTTGCTGAGGCTTCTCAGAGAAACCCATAAAGTGAGATGCTCAGCTGTGTTGACCTCTCACTACCTGCTCCAAAGTCTCTTACAGTGACCCTTTAGCATTCTCTCAGGCTGGGCTTATCTGAGATCTACTTTCTCATTCCATGTGGCCATAACAGGAGAGGCTGTATATCTCAGAATTCCTGCTAGGTGCCACCTCATCATGCAGTGTCACAGTCCCCAGAGCAGTGGCTCCCTTGGTCTCTCCTATTTGGTTCCCTCCAAAGATGCTATCATAGGATGTAATTTCACAAGGACAGAAGTACACTCTCCTTTGCCTCAGGATATAAAAATGTTAAAGCAGTGCCCATTGGAGGCCAGAAGAGGGCATCTGATTCCCTGAAATTGGAGTTACACACCACGTGGGTGCTGTGAACCAAACTCAGGCCCTGTGGAAAAGCAGTAAGTGCTCTTAACCACCAAGCTATTCTCCAGCCCTTTGTTTATTTGACTGTTTTTGAGACAGAGTCAATCTGATCCCCCTGCCTCAGCCTCCCAAGTCTTAGGATTATAGGCACGTATTACCTTGCCCAGCAATATTTGGTATTACTTGACACAGCTTGGAAACAGGCTTTCAGGGACCCATCAGCAGACATATCCAGGTGCTAGAAATGTCTAGGCATGCTGTGTGGCACTTGACTTTGGATCTGTAGTAGTGTCTGAGTATTACACCTGGTCACATGCTTTGATTGTATGTGTCTCTACAGAAGGGCATATCATTGACTCATAACATGGAGCTCTCTGGCATCCTCTGTACATGTACTCCTCCTGCACCATGCATCCCTCCCAGTTAGCCCCCAGTCCTTCACAACTACCCCGATGCTGCTTTGGTTTCTAGTAGATCAGGGCTGGGACAGAGGCTGGTGGTAGTAGCAGATGTTAAAACATGAGATGTAAGATTGTTTCCTCCGAGAATCACTGACAACACTGTCATTTGCAGAGTTATCACTTCCATATTATATATGCCCCTGTGATGACAAAAGCCTTTTCTGTTCATTATGTACATTCATGTCAGCCATAAGCAGAAATACCAGTCCCAAGTGAGTTTTTAATCGGCTGTCACTTTGAAGTACTCGTGCCTTTCTTCCTCTCCACTGGCAGTCATTGATAGCATGTTTTTGTCTAAGACATTTGCACATTCACAGGACCATCAGAAAGATGAGCCACATCTACTGTCTATGCATGTGTGCACATGCATGCCCACCCTACCAGTCCTGTTAGGGTCCTGAAGAGGGAGGGATCTGTGGTCCTTGGATTCTTCCAGGCAACAGTAAGCTCTGGGAAAACTGAACTGTTCTTTGTTGAGGGTCTGTTGCCTTTACCTTCCTCTAGCAGGCTGAAGGGTTCCATTTGAAGGCTGCTTCAGTCTCTGATCTAACGAGCATGATGTCTGCATTTCCCAGGCCTATCACTGTGCCTCATAAATGACAAAGGATTTTTGGTTGTGAGCCTGAGCCTTTAATGGGTGCACCAGCTCTCCAGCCAACAAAGGACTCTTTATGCTGCACTGCATCCCACCTTTCCAGTGTGTTCCTTCACTTAGTATGAGAGATTGACTAAGAAATGTAATTTAGGTGCCCTAATGCTGACATTTGAGACCATCCTAGAGTAACAGAATGAAAGGCATTCACAAAGCTATGAAAATCCAGTCCCCTTGATTACCACACCTTCAGGGCAAGGGGTTTGCCAAAGGAGCAAGAGTCTCTTGTCTCAAGCAAACTAATTCCGTACCTTTCCACTGTTATGTGTTAAATGGAGACACTAGATTCTAGATTGCTAGGAAGTTTTATTCATTTTTCTTTTATTTATTATTATTTTTTTATGTGTATGAGTGTATTGCCTGCATGTGTATGAGTGCACCCGTGTCATACAATGCTGTGGAGGTCGGAAGAGGGCTTCGGATTCCCCTGAAACTGGAGTTAAGAATGGTTAGTAGCTGCCATGTGGGTGCTGGGAATCGAACACGGTCCTCTGCAAGAGCAGTCATTGCTTTTGACCACTGAGCCCTCTCTCCAGCCCCAACTAGGAAGTTTTAAAATTACAGTCCCTGGAAACCAGCACTTCATCAATGGACAGGGTCAGCTGGACTTGAGGGGTGATAAAGAAAGGAACTGGGGTAGACTGAGCTTAAGCCAAGTGGTATGGGGGATACAAGACTTGGATGGGATCTCTTCTGGGACTATCAAATATTGTGTAGCAAGACCCCACACATCTCAAAGAAAGGGGCCTTGGAATAATGATCCCCTGGGGTTATGTAGTAGTCTCAAGTTGGCTGGAAGTATGCTGTTCACCAAACTACTATGTTTGACAATAAAGCTGACATTTGGTGATAACTTTAGAAATTTTGTTTTAGGACTTCTTAAGTGATGACTAAAATTGCAGAAAGCTTTAACATTTTTATGTCCTTCTGAGGCAAAGGAGAGTGTACTTCTGTCCTCATGAAGTCCAAACCCTATGATAGCATCTTTGGAGGGAGTCAAGTAGAGAGACCAAGGGAGCCACTGCTCTGGGGACTGTGGCACGATGAGGTGGACCTAGCAGGAACTCTGGGATATACAGCCACTTCTACTATAGATAGATCTACTACAGGTAGATCTTAGACAAGCCCAGGAAGCAAAACACTCATACACATACAATAAAATAAACAAATCTTTAAAAAAATAAACAAACTACAACAATTAAAAACACCAGTTTCTTTGTGCCCCTCTGGAAAGTTTCTCTAGGACATTAAGACAGAGACATAGTCACATAGTGGAAAAAGTCAATTCTATATAGCAACCTGTGGGTAGTGGCAGTTACCTAGATACTGGCTTTTGGGGGCCTTTTGGGGGGAAGGGTCTCCCTGTATTCCCAGCTGGCTTGGAATTCACCAGGCTGGCCTCAATCTCACACAGATCTGCTTGCCTCTGTCTCCTTAGTGCTGGTATCAAAGCTCTAGATTCTCTTAATTGTGAGTAGGATAATCTTGCTTAGTAAACTTTATCAATTCAGCCTTAACCAGAAATCTCTTTTTGGGGACTTTTAAACTGGACGTGTTTTTGAATTGTTGACTTTCTTGCCTTAGCAAGAACAGTTGAATGGTGGAATGGGTACCCTGCTTGGTAAATGGGGACTCTGTATGGCCCGAGGCTCGGATTTCTAGGTCTACTCTAAAAGGCACGGCATATAACACCCGTGAAGGTGATATTCTCAATCTCTCTCACTCTCACGCTCATTATTCTCGCTTATAATTTACCATTAAGTATAGCATTATTAATTTGACCTAATTAATCAAGCTTTTTGAGAAGGAAAAAGTGCAATGCATAGATGATGACTGATTGGCAGATGTCATGTCAAAGTGAAAATGCTTGAAGTTAGTCCCTTGAGAGACCATTAGGACTGCCTGAGAATGTATATACCCAGATAGGAAGGTAGGTAGGTTCACTCAGGAAGCAGAGACATCTGCTCATGATATTGCAGCACAAATGACCCCTAAGGTCAGTCATCAGACAGATTCCATTTCACCAACAAGAGGAGTGCTTGGCACATACCATGTGCTCAATGAAGATTTGTTGACTGAATAAAGCCTGCATACCTATATGTTCAATACAGATTTCCATTGATCACCATGCATTTGTCTGTCATCCATTCACCCATCCCTCCACCCCGCTCTCCATCCAATATTTATGTATTTATCCTATGTGAGGTACTGTGGCATGTGCTCCAGGAGATTTGATGGCAATATGCAGCCCCTTATGTAGAGTCATCTCTGTCTCAACAAACTGTTTAAAAGAGATGGACAGGGGCTAGAGAGATGGCTCAGTGGGTAACAGCACTGGCTGTTCTTGCACAGGACCCAGGTTCAGTTCCCAACATCCACATGGCAGCTAACAACTCTCTGTAACTCCAGTTCCAGGGGATCTGACTCCCTCTTCTGACCTCCTCAGGCATTGCACAACATGGGTGTGCTTACTTACACGCAGCCAATACAGTCATATACACAAAATAAAAAATAATAAAATACTTTAGAGGAGAGGGACTAAGTGACAGAGACTGCATAATGGCTTGAATACAGACTGCATTTTACATGGTATACCTTGGGTATGGTTTATTGCTCAACAATTCATGTGCTAGAGACTTGATTCCCAGGATGACAGTGTTGAGGTGGTGGGACTTCTAAGAGGTGGGGTCTAATAGAAAGTAGTTAACACTGTAGATTCTACCCTCATGGATGGACTAATGCTGGTATTGCAGGATGAGTTGGATCTGGTGGGAACGGATGCATTCCTGCCAGCGCGTGTTAATATGCAAGTGTGTCTGGGCCTTTTCTCAATCTCTTGCTTCCTATCTTATGACACCCTCTCCACGTGCCCCTGAGATGTGATGTCATCCCGAGGTCTGCATTAGAAGGCAAACAGATGCTGGTACCATGCTCCTTGGACCTCCAGAATTGTGAGCCAAACAAATCTCTTTTATTTATAAATTAGGCAGGGGTTTTGTTAGAGCAATACAAAATGAACTGAGACATTCTTCTATCTCCACTACCCTACAGACTTTTTGCCTTTAGCAAAGTCTGATTACCATCCCCATTGAACCCAGTCTATATGCTTCCAAAGGGACATTTCCTTTTTCCTGTCCAGATGGGGTACAGACACTGGTCCGTGCCTCAGAAGGACATTGGACTAGCTTCAGGGATGATTTCCTCTGAAATGGGTTAGGCTCATTTGTTTCCTTGGTAATCAACCAAATTAAAGGGACTTCTAAGTCCCCCATTCCTGGGGCATTTGTTACAATGCTGTTCAGGGATAATTCTGCACACATCATCCCTGCTCCCCTCCAATGTCCTCTTGTTGCATTTCAAAGAAGTATAAAACTATTCTCTCTGGAAACATTTTTTTAAAAAGAATATAAATTAAGGGTTCAAGGATTCTGGACATTAATCTTCTTCAGAGAGAAACATGGGCATATCCTTAGAATATACAGGTCTTTCTTCCTTACTGTGTTGTTGTTTTAGGGCAGTGTTTCACTAAGTAGCCCAGGCTGGCCTTGAATTCATTATCCTCCTATGGCAGCTGAGTGCTAGGATATGAGCCACCCCTCATATGGTCTGGAATTTGAAGGAACCATTTCTTACTGTCATGAAGTTTGAATTCTGGATTTGTTGTAATTATACTTGGCTATATGGGACTTTTTTGGTAAAAATCTACATTTTTGTTTTTACACAGTGGTTCTCTCAGTGCAAACCTCTACTTTGGTGCCATTCAGGCCTGGGCCTTTGCATTGCATGTGACACTACAATTTGTAGTTTCCTTTTCAAGACCATTCTTTCTGCACCAAGTCATAAAGTATATTACACTCTCCAGCCATAGCAGTTATGACACACACACACACACACACACACACACACACACGTTTATAGTGACTGCACCTGCATTCCAGACTGCTAGAACTGGAAGAGTGCCTTGGATTCTAATTTACCCTCAGTGTTTGCATACAGTGAAAGATAGGAACCATAATCCCTGATCTACAGGTGTGGGAACTAAGGTACCGAAAGATGATCTACCCAAAGTCACTCAGTAAGGTGAAAAACAAACTGGGTAAAAGGCCAGGTAAGATCACCTGTGCCTTCCACTGCTTTGTCCAGAAAACCAGATTGCTTCCTCATAATAATGCCCATACTTTGAAAGAAGTAGTTTTAGGGTAGAGCTTCCTGGGAAGGGTTCAGAAGCAACTCAGGAACCACAAGATCAAAGAACTCGAATCACATTAACATTTTAGTTAAATGCTCCTGACTCATAGACAACACCAATTATTACAGCTCACTGACAAGAAGGAAATAGTCAACCATTCAAGAAATAAGCCTTGGTTCAAAGCTCCTTTCCTGGTTTCACAGTATCTCACATGTAACACCTAAACACAGCTTCCTTCAATACAAGACTCTCCTTAGCATGTAATAGGATGGGGTGACAAGGTATGTGGGCACGCGCGTGTGTGTGTGTGTGTAGTAACCAGTCACTTTAGAGACAATTATGCCCAGCAGAAAATATACCAGACATTCTAATGTAGTAGTTCTCTACCCTGATTCCTTTTCTTTCTCTCTCTTTCTTTCTTTTTTTGGTATTTTTAGTTTACTTCCTGACCTTGATTTAATATAAAAAAAGGATGATTTTCTTCCATCTTCCTTAGTGAAGGCAGAGTGATGGGTGGATATAAGTGGGGTCAATTTCAGCTTCATAGAAGGAACACTCTAAGGGTTAAAATTGCCTAGTGGTAACAACCTTTAGACCAGGGAGTGGTCAGGTATTGCAAGTATTTTCCCCCAGAGGCTAAATGACCACCTGCCTGTGCTGCACTGCCCCATCTACTACCAGGAACCCATATTCCCAGAAACAAACGAGTCTAACAGCAATCCTCTTGCCTCCCAACTCCAGGTCAAGAAAGGCACAAAGGAGACCAACAAATAACACTGAAGTGGTGCTTTGGATCCAGGAGATCTTGAGGTACCAGAAGAGTTCTAATGGCCCCATCTGTCAGATGGGAAAGGTGAGGCACCAAGAGACCCCCATCAAATACTTCAGGTATAGATGAGAGGGTACCAGGAATTTAAAAGGAAGACTCTTTCCTAGGGCAGGAAGAGAGATAACCCTACCAACACCAGCACAATTCAACGCAGGGGCAATTCTGGTCCTTCAGTCACCACAGGCAAGCGGCCAAGGATTCTCAATTGTCCTTAGCACACAGAACTGACTCCTACACAGAGGGAGTCCCACACAGCAGACTCTCCGGGGCCCACCTCGAGACTGCATTCAGAGCTAGAGCTTCAGGCAGGCATAGCCTGGGCAGGCACGTAAGGTAGCTCTGCTTCTTAAGGCATGGCTGCTGTCTGCAGGAGCAGATCCCACACTGGGAAGTGGCATTAGACACTTCTTCCACTGAAGTAAATCGATTTCCATAGAAGCTTCACTGGGTGGAACACTGTTGCCGAAGGAAACCACCATCTTCAGGGAGGGAGAGAGCTGAAGGCTTCCATTAAAGCTAAGCAGCATCACCAATCCAACCCATTTCCTGCGTCACATGGGAGAATAAGAAAGGAAAAGGGAGACAAATTGATTATTATCTGCAGGTGATTGTCTAACTAGAAAACCTAGGGGACTCAACTGAAAAACTATGGGAATTAACAAGAGAATTTGCTCAGGTGTCCAATTAATGGTCCAGCATTCAAGACCAATAGCTTTTTTGATCACTGTGCATGGACTAACATCTTCAAAGAGCTGTGCTTTCTGAGGAGACAAGTTTTGTGCAACTTATATTTGAAAGACGGAGGTGAGCCAGGGAGATGCCCCTCAGCTGCTGCAACTGAAAGTTGTCTTGGACACAAATCTCAGAAAGATGCTTGAGGCAGCTGTTGCAGAGGGGCCCTGACATTCACCTCTGTGCTCTCTCCTAAGGGAATCCTCTCTCACCCCAGGTGCTTTCTACTGGAATAGAAAAACACATATTGGGGTTTGGCAAAGGTGAATGTGGGGAGACTGCCAAGTCATCTCCAAATAAAGTAAGTTTGTAAAAACGAAGGTGGAAGATTTAAAAGTCCCGAGTGTCCAGCCTCTCACTGTCTCCTGGTTTAGAAGTCTAGAGACTTGGTGGTGGGGCGGGGCCTGGAGTGAAGCCTCCCAGGGTATGGTCAAAGTGGCTGAGGGAGGCCCCACCGGACTAAATGGTGCAGTCTGGCCGGCACAAGGCGGCTGTCATTTGCGATCCAGGCTGGCTTGTAGCTGGGCCTCTCGCACCATGCGGTCGAAGGAGCGCCTGTTGGTCTCTTCCCGAACCTTCTCCCGCACGTGGAAGGAGGCCCGGGCCGTGGAGCGAGCGCTCTCCAAAGCGCTTCGCCTTTCTCGAAACAGCTGCTCGCTGCGCTCCAGCTTGCGCCCAATGGCCTGGAGCAGCTCCCGGCGGCGGCAGTCTTCGTCCCTCTCCACCTTCTCCTTGTTCGCGCGTTGGGCCCTCTCCTTCTCCAGTCGGGTCTGGACCACGCGCCGGGCCTTCTGCTGCACCGCCTCTTCCGCCACCTGCGCCGCGTGCTGCAGCCGTCGCTCCCCAGCCCGCGCCAGCGCCTCCAAATGTGCCTGATGCTCCCGCTCTTTGCGCTCGGCCGCCTCCTTGGCTCGCCGACCCTGCAGTTCCTCCCGCCGGGCCCGCTCCCGTAGCTCCCGGGCACGCTGCTCCATCAGCTGCCCGTAGTTCTCCTGCGCGCGCCCCAAGCTGGCCTCCAAGGAGCTCCGCAGGCCCTCTCGCTCCTCATGCTGCTGCCGGACCCGGCCTCGAAGCAGCGCCTCGTGGCGCGCACGCTCCGCCCGGCTCATCTCCCGCTTCTCGCGCTGCAGCTGGCCCTCATGGCGCTGCTTGGCGCAGGCCGCCCGCTGAGCGCGCTCCCTACGGACCTGCTCCGCACGCTCCCGCCCTTCCTGCAGACCCTCCTCCCGCTGCTTCAGGTTCTGCTCCTGCTGCAGTTTGCGCAGCCGGTCGTCCCGCGCCACGCGTTCCGCCCTCTCCCGCCGCAGCAGACCCTGGCGCTCCGCCAGCTCCCGCCGTCGCTCTTCGCTGCGCTCGCACTGCTGCTGCTGCCTCCGCGCCGCCTCGCGCTCCTCCCGGCCCCGCCGGCAGCCGCGGCCGCTCCCCCAGCCCCCGCCGTCGCTCCTCGCTGCGCTCGCACTGCTGCTGCTGCCTTCGCGCCGCCTCGCGCTCCTCCCGGCCCCGCCGGCCGCGCCGTTCCTCCACCTGCGCCGCCCAGGCGCGCCGGCCCCGCTCCAGGGCGCGCTGCTTCTCGCGCTCTTCGCGCTCCCGCCGCTGCTCGGCGCGCACACGCTGCTGCTCCCACTGGCCGTGGGCCGCGGCGCGCTGCTCCAGCAACAGTCGCTCCTCCTGGTGACGCGCCAGCATGAGCGCCGCTATCTTGCGGTCGCGCTCCGGAACCCCGCGCAGGCCGCGCTCGGCCCTCACTTGGCGCACTATGCGCTCCACGTGCTGAGCGGTCTGCGGCGAGTGGCTCAGGTCGCCGAGACTGAAGCTGCGGCTTGTGAGTGGAACCAGGTCAAGGGCAGAAGGGCGGCCCAGTGGGTTGGGCGCAGAGGAAGCTGAGCCCGCTGGGCAGCTGTTCCTGGCGGGGCCTCGAGGTGGCCAGCGAAGTTCCCGAAGGCTCTCCCCGCTATAGGACGACGACGATGCGCCCGACTCGGAGCTGAGGGTACCGTCACGCCGGCGGGACAGTGAGTCCAGCGACTGACTCTTCCTCCCGGTCCGGGAGCCCGCGGGTGGAGGCCGGGTCCTGGCGGAGGGCGGACTGGGAGAGGTCCTTCGGGCCACACGCGGTGCGGGCGAGGCCGGGAGGCTGCTGCTGCAGCTGCTGCTGCTGCTGCTGCCTGCGCTCAGGGCCGAGGCGGAGGCCGGGGCTGCTGCGGGGCCCAAGGGCGTGAAGAGGCGCCGCTTCTCCTCGCGCACGATGCGCTCTCGCTCGGCACGGCACTGCTGCAGTTTGGCTCGCCGCTCAGCCTCGTAAGCCTCGTACAGGCCGGTGGCCACTCGCATGGAGCGGCCCGGGGCCTCGCGCACTAGGTCGGCCAACGCGCGGGGCAGCAGCTCCACCGGCTTGACGGCACAGCGGGCGCAGGCCTCCAGCGAGCGAGGACTGGTCAGCACGTAGCGGCTGCCCTCGGCCTCGGGACAGTCGAAGTTGAAGAGGTCGAGGTGCAGCAGCGGAGACTGCTCCCGCTGCCCGCCTTCTGCTCCGCACGGGACTTCGGCCTTCCGGGGCAGCGGCGCGGCGGCGGAGGCCGAGGAAGCCGCAGGCTGCTGGGCTCCCTGGGCATCCGGGGGCACGGACGCTGTGGCCCCATCCCCTTCCGAGCCACCGGGTTCCGCTCCCTCCTCCTCTTCTGGCACCGGGTCCACCATAGCTGAGCCTCGTCCTTTGTTGGAGTCTCTGTGGTGACAAGGAAGGACTTAGAGGAATACATTTGAGAGCTGTTTCTCCCTCCTCAACCACATTCACCTCTATCAACTCAATTGGATTTCAGATTAAGGCTCAGAGGCGTGGTGGAAAGTAAATCCTAAAACCCATGCCCTGGAAAACCCAGGCTGGGAGGCGGGTGGAGTTGGGGGGATGTTGGGGCCCAGAGAGCAGCTTCAGTCTCCCTCAATATTGGAATGCGAGGCCTGGGGAGAGACTACTCTGGCGTCAGCCGGGTTAGATGCATCCCCTCCTGCTGCAAGCTAAAATGGAAAGACCGAGGCGCAAGGCAGCCACCAGAGAGGGAGGCGCTGGAGGATTCCGGGAGGATTAGCGTATTTGTTTGTGGTTTAGGCGGGCTGCTGGGGATGCAGATTTGCAGAAACAAAAAAGGGAACCGGCCTGTTCATCCCGGAGTTCATTGGTGTGAGGACTCCAGTGGCCTAGGAAGAAGTTTATGGTTGATTTCTCGCTGCCAAAGGGACCCCGGGCGCGGGGCCCCGGGTGATTGGAAGGACTGAGAGAAGTCCCCAAAGGTTCTTTTGCAAAGGGTGATGGATCCTTCTTTCTCCTGCCTCTCCAGCAGGGCTTGCTGGGAGCTCTGCCAGCCTCCTCCACCCCCCACGGGGGGGGGGAATTGTGCACCTGGATCCTACCCCATGCACTCGATCTCCTCCAAGGCTGAAGATGCAGCTAAATGTTCTATCAACCCCAGAATAGGCTAGGATGCCGGCCCCCAGATGCCCATCAGTTCCCACACAACATCACAGCCGGCTGGGCTCCTAGGGCGCTGCGAGCCTGACCGTTCAGTGCCCGCCGCTATTAGGTCCCTAGGCGGGTCTACTTACCCCAGGTCGGGCTCGAGCCCCCGTCGCCGAGGGCTTTTGTTCACCGCACAGCGCTGTCCTCAGGGTCTCTTCAGTCCTGGCGCCGGCGGGGTCGGGTTTCTGCCGGCTGCAGCAGTGAAAGGAGCTCCAGCTGCCACCGCCAGCGTCTCTCCATGGGGTCCGCGAGCAGGGCGTACATGTCCCAGGGGCTACCTACTCGCGAGAGGGGAGTGCGATAAAGCCTCCCTAAAATAACGCGGCTCTGCTCCCTTTGCTCACACCGCACTGATTCTTAAAAAAAGGCAGCCGAGTTCCATCACCGCTGCATCCATCTCCACCTCCCTTGCCAAGGTACCGCAGGTCTTTCGCTGCCCTGGGCGCCTCCTGGTGGACACTTTAAGAGTGTTCGTTTGTTTGCTTAGAGAATGATGAAGAAATTAAAAATACAGCATCTATATATTTATGTATACATATGTTAATATATGTATCGAGACATATGTAATGCATATATAGAGATGTGTATATAGCAACATCACCAAGAAACTAGCCTTTCAGCACCTAAGCTAGGTACAATGAAAGAATCACTCAGCACATTTCTCAGGGGGACCCTGAGAAGGAAACAAACACGATAGCAAGTAATTAGACAGAAATATGGCATCTGATCTAAACTGTGGTTTTATTCTTCAAGTACGAAGATGCCATTACTTTGCCGACCTAAAATTTTTTTAATGAAAAAAAAAAAAAAGCCCAAAATACTCTTACGGGTTTGAAGCAGGCAGAACGTGTGATGTAGCGTTTTATGAGTTGCTAATTCCAGATAATAAAATTAAAGCTAGTTGGTGACACCTTTCCCTACCGCTTTTCCATTTTGAGTTCCACATTGGAATCCTCCAAAAAGGGTGGGTGGAGCATAGTATTAGAGCACATGGAGAACTGTGTTGTTAAAGAATTTGGGGCTGGGGGGATGGCTCAGTGGTTAAGAGCACTGGTTGCTCTTGCAGGGGACTTGGGTTTGGTTCCCAGCGCTCACACGGACGCTAACAGCCATCTGTAATTCCAGTTCCAGTTCCAGGCTCCATTGTCCTCTTCTGACCTCTATGGGCACTGCATGACACGATTACACCTACATATATGCAGGCAATACACTCATACATAAAATATTTTAAAAAGAATTTGAAAGTCAGGGCTGTGGGGGGAATGAAAGGTTTTGAGCGAGGAAATGACAATTTAATTTTCTGTTTTAGGAACATTAGCAACCACAGGGTAAGGCAAAGAAGAATTAAAAAACCCAGTTAGGGAGATGCTGCAGTTACCCAATACAAAGAGGGTTGATACCAGAGAAGGAAAGGGGGGGTGGGTAGGTTCTGGAAATAAGAGTGAAAGGAGCAACACTCAAAGATCTCTTGGCTTCAGGATGTGACCAACAGTGAAGGAAGTGGATGACTGGAACGGTGAAATGCAGTGTGTACCACTAAAAGTGGATCCAGGAGGGTGGATTAGCTGGTGTGGGATACCTGGGATGGGACTTTTCCTTTTTGTACCAGTTGGATATAAAGTAGGGCTGTTCCACACGTGGTTGGATAAGTCATGGTAGAGGTCTAGACTGGAGCTAGATTCAGGATGTCATTACCTGTATAAGATTCTCAAAACCAGGGGCTGGAGAGATGGCTTAGCAGTTCAGGACACTGACTGTTCTTGTGGAAGACCCAGGTTCAAATCCCAGCACCCACATGGCAGCTAACAACTGTCCTTAACTCCAGTTACAGGGAATCCGACAGCCTCTTCTGTCCTCCACTAGCATTGCACGACACAGGTACACTTACATACAGGCAATACACACATACACATAAAATAATAAATTAAAAAAATAATTTTAAAAAGATTCTCAAAACCAATAATGTGAATGGGATCATCCAGGAAGGAAAGATGAATTGGTAAGAGGCCACAGGACATGGTTAATTTGAAGAGAAAAGAGGCCCGTGTAGGAGGAGAATAACAGTGAGTAGGAAGTGTACTGTGTGAGCAGAGCTCGAAGGAGAATGTGCCCCTACTGCAAAGGGCTACAGAAGTTCAAATGGATTTCTTCTGGAGTCAAATATCCTATGAAACAGTCTTAGGTGACGCTAGCAAAATCAACTTATTGTGGGAGCAGATGTCAACATGCAATGGCAGGTGACAAAGTGGGAGGTATTGGACCTTTTAACTTTCAAGTAATAGTGTTGAGAACTGCAAAGGGTTTGAATTTTATCCTAGTTAATGCTAGCAAGTTAGCCTGCTTATGGTTCATAGGTGTTGGCAGAGGACATGATACTCCTGAGTCAGAAACACAGTACTTTGTTATTTGTGCACAAATAGAACATGATATTCATGTTCCTTTAAAAATATTGTACTATTTTTATGTGTCTGGGTGTTTTCCCTGCATGTATATAAGTGTACCTGTGTCGTGCAATGCCCATGGAGGTCAGAAGAAGGCTTCAGATCTCCTGGAACTGGAGTGATGGACAGTTGTTAGCTACTATGCAGGTACTGGGAATCAAACCCAGGTCCTCTGCAAGAGCAGCTGGTGATCTTAACTGTTGAGCCAGCTCTCCAGCCCCAGGCTCATCATGGTCTTGATCAGAGTGGGCTCAGATAGAAACTGTACATAAAATGGGCTTGTGTCACAGTTGAGCCACCCTAATATTTTAAAGGGGACTGTGATGGTTAATCTTCATCGTCAACTTGACTAGATTTAGAATCACCTAGGAAACATACCTCTAGACTATCTTTCAGGGCCTTTCCAGAGAGGTTTAACTGAGGAGGGAAGAAAGACCCACTCTGAATGTGGGGGCACCATTCCATGGGCTGGAGTCCTTAAAAAGTGAATGTGAGACTGGGGATGTAGCTCAGTTGGCAGATGCTTGCCTACCGTGCACAAAGCCCTGGATTTGTTCTCTATTACCATATAAAGCCAGATATGGCAGTACATGCCCATAATCCCAGCCCTCAGGAGTAGGGTAGGAGAATCAGGAAGTTCAGGGTGATGCTTGGCTACACATTGACTTGGAGGCTACCCTGTGCTGGGCTACATGAATCCCTGCTTGTCTAAAAAAAAATTTTTAAGGAGAATGTGAGCTGAGTCCCAGCATTCATATATTTGTATCTGTATCTCTGCTTCCTGACTGTGGACACAGTGTGGCCAGCCACCTCAAGCTTCTGCTTCCATGCTTTGCCACCATCACAGACCAGATCCCTTCCGTGTGTGTGTGTGTGTGTGTGTGTGTGTGTGTGTGTGTGTGTGTGTGTATGTTTGTTTTGAGACAGGGTCTCCCTGTGGCCATAGCTGACCTGGAACTTGCTGTGTAAGCCAGGCTGGCCTCAATCTCACAGAGATCTGCCAGCCTCTGTCTCCCAGAGTGCTGGAACTAAAGGTGTGTGCCACCACACTCATCTTGGATCCCTTCTTAAACCAGGAGCCAAAATAGACCCTTTTTCCCTTAAGTGGCTTGTATCAGGTATTTGATTACTGCAATTAGAAGAGTAATTAATACAGGGACTAATAGTCAAATGGTCAGACTCTGTCTTGAAAGAGGCATAATTTTAGTTATCTTGGCTGACAAACAAGTCTTCTCTCTGACCTGATGGGAGCCACTATCTCAGTTGAACAAAACATCTGGCAATATAGACCAGAAGAGGCTTGACAAGACATTCAACAAGAATTAGTCTCCATAGAGAAAAGGAACAGTTGGTCACATGGCTCATAAGATAATGGGGCTTGGATTTGGACCAGGCTCTGTCTGATCCTCAGCTTCCACAGACTTTTTTTTTTTGGCCTTACACCAATCCTTAGAGATAATAATTATTAGGTACATTATTTGATCAGTTAGTGCAGTAGCTGTTAATTTAGACTGAAACAAAACAAAAGCCAATGGTAATGTGTACAAGCCAATGTACACACATTTATTTAAATTCCTTTTGCAGCCAGGTGTGCTCCTAGTCCCAGCACTCAGGAGGTTGAGGCAGGAGGCTTGAGGGTTTGAGGCCTGCCTGGGCTGCATAGCAAGCAAGCAAGAAAACATAAACCCAAACCAACTAACCAACCAAACATAAAAAAAAAAAACCTCAATTCCTCTTGTTCAGCTTCCACTTCCTGCCTTAGTTCTGGGCATCCTGCTCAGTTCCCTTCCTCTTAATATTTACCCTGCAGAACAGAGGTTTTTTTTTTCACTCTGAAGTTCTAGATCAGAATTTAGCGAAATCCACTGCCAGTTTTTGTAAATTAAGTTTTACTGGAGAACAGGCATACTTATTTGTTTACATATTATCTGTACTGCTTCTGAAAAATACCAGCCAACTTCAGTAGTTTTTGACAAAGACTTTATGACTTACAGAGTTTTAAATGCTTATTACCAGGCTCTTTTTAGAAATAGTTTCCCAACCCCTGTTCTAATAACTGATGATAGTTTGTGTGAGCCGTCAACATACTGCTTCACAACTTCAGATCCACCCCGCAGTACCTATTCTGGAAATAGAGACTATTTCCCACTTGACAATGAGCCAGAAGGGGTGGGGGTGGGGGATATAGCAGGCAAGGAGGCTTCTTTTCCTGGTTCGTCCCAGCTACTGGCCTTTTCTTGGTTTTGCTACCTAATTAGTGGTGCAGAAGTACAGGAGCTTCCTGTGTCACTCTGCTCCAGCTGTACACCCAGAGCAGTCCCTTGGTGATATCAGGATCCTAGTCCAGGCCTGGGGACCACCTTCCCTTCCGTTCCTGAGGGTAATACTGCCTGCCCTAGGCCTTGTGCCTTGGTCTGGCACTCTCTGCTCTCTCCAGCCTCAGTTTACCAGCAGTTTTGAAGATGGTTTCCTCCTTGCCCAACAACAGTGGAACAACTTGGAACAGGCAGTTGTCTGTGTTACCTCAGAGGCTGCAATCTCACCTTCTCTAAGACCTGAACCATGGTCTTGAGGACGGAGCTTTCCTTCCAGTTGTCTTTCCTGGAGCACCCCAAGGCTGAGGGTATGCACATTTACTTTCCTTTCATAGCATAATTCCTCTCTAATTAAGCTTCCCCTGTTTAAATTACTATGGCTTTCTGCCTCCCAAGTGGATCTAGACCAATATGATTAAAATATCTCCATTCCCAGTTCTTGAGATTAAAGCATTAAGAAATTTCAGATGCAAACCAGCAAGTAAAGATAATATTTGTCAAAAGAGCATGTTTTATTTATACTTTAATAAGTAATATGTACTTATTAAAGTAGGAAATTAGACAATATAGAAAAGAGGAAGGAAAAAAGTCACCTGTAGGAAAATAATCACTGGAAGACTAGCACTGTCACATTTTGGTGTATAACACCCTTGGTAAGGACTTAAAAGTAGACAGGTAGACTACTTGTACTGCAGGTAGACCAGCCTTTTCTGTTTCTGGTCATGATTGTTAGGGGATCAGGATGTAACCTTCCTGCTCAATGCATCAATGAGAGGGAATAGGATCTGAGTAGTTGTATTCTGCCTGCTGAATGTGCCACAAAACCAGCCTTATCAAAAATATTTTAAAGGTGTGCACCTTGTCCCAGCACTCAGGAGACAGACACAGGAGGTCCTCTGAGTTCGAGACCAGCCTGGTCTACAATAGTGAGTTCCAGGCCCTAATCCTACATAGTGAGAGACTCTGTCTCAAAAAAACAAACAAACAGGGACTGGAGAGATGGTTCAGCAGTTAAGAGTACTGGCTGCTCTTGCTGAGGACCCAGGTCCAATTCCCAGCACCCACATGGCAGCTAACAACTGTAACTCCAGTTCCAAACTCCGGTTCCAGAAGAATCTAACGCCTTCTGACCTCTATGGGCAGTA